GTGTTAAAAGCTGCTCGCAGACCACTGACAACCGGGGTACAAGATTGCATGAGGAGGAAGCATAGGATGTGCAGAGATGCCAACCCCTGGAGATATGGTGCTGTGTTAAAAGCCGCTCGGAGAACAATGACAACCGGGGTACAAGAGTGCATGAGGAGGAAGCATAGGGTGTGCAGAGAATCCAACCCCCGGAGATCTAAAATCTGGAGACTCTCTATTTCGCATTACAACCCCCCCCCCGACCCCCCAAATGTCAACAGCTCCACTACCCTCTCCCCCCTGCCCAAAAATTGACCCAACCTCTATGGCTTAAGGCATTATGTGAAGTCTTACATGAAGCACCTGCTATCAAAATTTGCCTTCATCATTACAATGATGAAATAATCTTTGCCGGTGACTAAATACGTTAAAAAATGTCCCAGAAACTGTACAATGAATAAAAGAAGTTTGAATTTTGTGTTAAAAATGGGCTAAATTTCAAACTAAAGCACAAAAAGTTTACTTTATCCGGGAAATTTGGTGACCCATATAGGAGAACAGGAGATCTGCCATAACTGGGAGACTCCGAGATAATCCAGGAGAGTGCCCTTGTGAATTTTTACTTTTTAAAGAACTCCTTTAGAAGGTGTGAGAGGCATGTTCCAATCATCAATGTCTTTTGAGACGAACTGTCTCAGCTACAGTTAATTTTGATACCAGCTGTATACATGTATGAAAATAATATGTACATTGTGATTCTTTACCTTTGGAGGCCGTCTTGGCTTATTAGACAAATTTTCTAACTTGAGTTTTTCAACTAATGGTAGGGCAAATGAGAGCTGCAAATACCATGAAAACAACACAGTTACCTATAAATCTGCTGTTGCAAACTAACAATGCACATTTAAGTAATATTAAGAGTTGAAGTTGATATACTTTGTTGTAACAAGTAAATTGACTCAAATTCTGTTATTAAATTGTTTGGTCTACTTTTATTATTCACATTTTGAAAAGCACAAAAATTGATCTTGGCATACCGTTTTTCCTGTCCCAGTTCCTATGGTGAAAATAAAATAAAGTAAGAAATAAAATAAAGAAATTCAAATTTTAAAAAGTTTTGTTTTAACATTGTGTTACAGGTCAAAATTACATTCAGGTAAAAATTCTTTTAACCTGCGTTGATTCTCTATTTCCTTTGTTTAACAGCCCTAATTATTTATGAATTAGGGCTAGAAATCAATCAATCATAGTAAAGGATAAAAGAAACAATCTTTTTTTTGTAGACAAACTCGACAACTGAGCACAGGTATAAGAACAACGCATACAGTGGATTTTGATATATTCAAACACCTAAAGTAATAAGAAGCCTAAACATAAACCACCCTAGTCTTACTTGCTTGTCCGATTATATCTTGTCCATCATAGATGTAATCAAAAGTTTCACTTTGAATGGGGAATAAATAGTTTATTTTATTCTCTGCAAAAAACACAAAAGAAAATTAATGTTGTTATTATTAGCAGGCTGTCACATTATGGCACCACAGAAAAAAAAATTGTAAACAATATAAAAAAAAGAAGAGAGAAAGACAAAAGAGAATCATTAACCTCTCAGCCTCTCTATGGTTTCTTCTGATAATCGAAATTTAGAAAAATCTCCTGACTCTTTTACATCCAGGTCATCTTCCTGTGAAAACAGAAAAAAAAAATGACATGTGGTAGTAGTACAAAACCCTTTAATCCCTAAAATCAATGGCTTTGTTCTCCAATCTGTTTTCTGTCCATTCCCTATAGGGAAACAATTAATTTTGTTTCCCAAGAATCTCAAATCTCTGGAAATTCATTAAACCTCGCTGTAACGGCAGGTCGTCAGTCAACATCCATGGGTAACAGTGACCTGTCAGTCTCTGACGTCACAGATTAAAATTGCAATGTTATCATGCTCAAAGATTTTGGCAGGACCAATATTTCCTAGGCAACATGTACATAGTAATAATGCGAGCACTGAATAAGATTTAAATTCTGTTGAAAAAAACTAAATTATCATAACCTTCTTCCAAAAAAGAACTGAAAAAGTACATTTTTAGAGAAATTCTCCCTTTCTAACTGGAACTCACATAACAGCAAACTATTGTACATTATTTTGATTCTAGTTTAGTAAAAACTAAAAAAAAAAAAAAAGAATGTATCTTCACTATTTAAAAAAGAAATTGGGAGGAAAGTGGGAGGGGGGACAAGGGGGACAAGGGCTTATTATAATTTTAATGACAAAAATTGTTGATCAAAAGGAGGGCTTTAATCAAAAGGTCAGCATTCATCTTTGACAATAAACATAATATTTTTGTAAGCGGGACAAAGAAAGGTGAACTACCATTGATTTCAAATAGTACATTCATGATCAGTATACCTGAGCAGCAGGACTCAAAAGAGATAATGCTGTAGGCAGCTGGTAATTCACAAGGCTTGGAAGCCTATGGAATAAACCAGATTCCTTGCATTAGTTAGAGTGTAAAGTATGTGAACCAACAACAACTTAAGATTCTATTGAAACTTATAAGGGCTGCAATAATAGACACCTGTCCAATGCACCAGTGAACCGGGTGTGACCTGGCCGTGATGCGAATATCAATATTAATTCAAACAAGATGAAAGCATTACATTTACATCACAAAATTAATGAGTGTGGAAACCCTTATGGACCAGCTGCATGCATATTAACCCTTGTAAGATAAGGCCATTTTATTTACAAGTCTTAGGAAAGCAAAGCATTCCTAATTCTTGTGTTATTCAAGAACAACACACAAGATTGCAAACAAACATACACACACTTGTATTCCAGTCAACAGGTTTACATGTCAGTCTTGTGTCCTAAACAAACACATTTTCGCCAGTCTTCACGAAAACATAAATAACGACACATAGTGGCTCTGTATCTATAGCGTACTGTACAATACAGCGCATGTTGCCAGACAAGATATCAGTGAAACCCTATTCATATACAATATTTTTTGTGAATCACGCAAGGATAAATATAAAGGATGTATTTATAGCCTGTGTCCTGCCCAAGAACAGCACTAACTCAAAACCAATGAGAATACACCATGTTTTGAAGTATTCCCGCTGGAATTAAGGTACTGTACCACTGCCTGATTACAAGGTCAAGGCCTTGTACTTAGGCACTAAAGTGAGCATGGGGTCCCTGTGTGCACATCTCCTCTTTTGGTTTCCTAGGTAATCTTCTGCTTTAATTTGTATTCCCATAACTCCTTACTACACTCGTATTTTAATTGGCATCTGTCATGGTAAAAGGGAGCATTTTGTGTCGGTACCCCGCAGTACTAGTACATCAAGTTATGCAACAAGTGTGAACAGCCAACCTAAGGCACTATCTTAACTGTAATTATTATAATGTACCTCTTTGTTAAGTAGTACATGGTTCTTATTTGTTGTCTTGCACTGCTTCTTTGTTTCAGGCCCTTCATCGCCATCAGCAGAGCTATGCTGCCTTTTCTTGCTGTGTTTGACATCCTTGTGTTTTATCGTGAAACCTCTTTCGATTCCCTTAAAATTATCAGCATAGTTAAGAGTTACAACCTATCATCAAACTTCTAAGTAGTACCTAGAATATAGATTTTCCCTTACATTTTCTGTAATTTGACAGTATCAAAATCACAGAAAATGTGTGGAAAAATAAAATTGAGGTTTTCTAAAAACTGATCACGGACTTCTTTGCACTCCAGATTTGGGTGTGTTATTTCTTTGAACTCCTTTTCAAAGAGAAAGCATCAAATGTATGAATTCAGGAAGAATTAGCTGGCTTTGAATTCCAATACAAATCTTTGAATTTCTCGCCATCTTGCCCTGATTACGCATGATTATTATAAGCCTACTGTGTACCACATGTGCTGAATTATGTAAGTGAATCAATCATAAGCCTACTGTATCATACGCAATTTACAGCTTAAGTTGTTGATGTTATTTTAATTGACGTTCCCGTGATTCTTCAGAATGCAAGGTGATTATATTAAAGGCATTTTACATTGTCTATTTCACAGATCAAAAAGATCGGTTAAGTGTCCACATGTCTTTTTCCACGTGCAAATTGCAAAATAAACAATCAGGGTGATGTGCCTTTGACGCGAACTTAGAACTGCAATTCTACCCACGATAAGTACGTTCTGATACTACAGAGGGATTTCGATGATCAGTCTGAACAAACCCAGATCAGAAGAAAAAAGTGACGCAGCATTTTTAAGACGCCGGTTCGCCATCTTTGACAAATTTACAACACGTGCAACGCGCTTGGTTTAACGAAGTCATAGAGGAGGCAGAGGATGTGATCCAATCATCTCCATTCTCAACGCAGGCTTACCTGATTTCTTGACTTTTTCGAAGAGTTTTTACCTTTCTTAATGTTCTTGCGTTTCTTTAATGTACGGTTTTCCATGAAGCTATAAAATCGGCAAGGAAAGATACATGGGCTGTGCAAAGTACGAGCTGCGTAGGGTCTGGACCGAGTCATCCGAAAATGCTGTCGAAAAAATTCGGAAATCTTCGGCTTACATCATAGAAAATATTAAGAGGCCGACAAATTAATTATTGAGGGGAGGGGTGGGTGATTTCTGGTCATAAAGGATTTTTTTTTCTAGCAATCTGGTGGGCAGGATATTTTTTTCCCTTTTTTCTCATAAGCTTTCTATTACATTTGTGCTGCATGCAATTTTTTTCTTCCGTCAAGCGCTTGCAGGAAATCTTTTTTCAAAATCCCCCCCCACCCCCCCCCCAAGAGTTAAATGGTCGGCCCCTAACCCATCTCCATCCTGTCAATCTGGGATGTATTCCTTGAAATATTTCCTTTACGTATTTATTACCTCTTGTAGATCAAAGATATACTGATTTTATCCCAGTCAACTGGATTTTGAAAAGCATCTAGTCGAAAAACGAAGATTACTTCCTACTAAATCCCAAAACATTTCCACTAGTGCTACACTAGTGCCAGTCTTTCTTGTTCTAGTGTCCAAAACATGGAGGATTCGTGGGAACTTGTCACGGTTCCGTCGGAAATTCAGCGCTCAACTGTTGGCAAGCAATCCCCTTCAGATGGCTCTGAGACGTCACTTGAAAAGAACGAAGAAAATAGCAAGTCTAAGGTATGTGAAAAAACTCGAAATGTGGGAAAGCAGTTTTATGAGACCTCTAATCTCTTTGAGATTTCCAAATGAACAGGCGATGAGATGGATGAACTGATTACTTTTTTAGACAAGTCGATTATTGTCAGCTAAACCATGACTTGACTGCTTCGATCGTGGACTTGTCAGCGATAGTTATTTATTAAATGAGTAAATTATTTATGTCATGTATGAAATGACTACAGTATCTTGGTGGAATTAATACATACGTGTTTCATTTTCCACGGATGACCTGTTTGTTTTGAACAGGAAATTCAAGGTGGACAATATTCAAGGGCATTGTTGACCATTATTTGTGGCTGATGATGTAGTTGATTAACTCAAACAGCTATATGATCCGATCAAGATCGTTGATACATGTAACTTGGTTTAGGTTCACTTTTTTCTGAAACCATAGTATTAGTATAACTGTTGGGCAGCTACACATATTCATGTCATCTTCTTGTTTTATGGTTACCAGATACCTTGTGTCTTGCTCTGTGCAAGTGATGCAACGTGTTGCAGTTAAACTGCAGATACACACATAAGCCCTATAGATCAACCACATAAAAATCCTATTAAGTTAGCCTGTTTTTGCGGGTGACAAGAGGAGCCTGCAATCCTAATCTCCAGGTTGTTGTTACGCCTGTGTCGCATGTATGTAGCCAGCATTCGTTTGGTCTTCCACTGAAAATGTACGGAATGCACTGAACGTACTTTTATCACGCGCGTTTGGACCTTCTATCACTTGTAATCTGATCACGCATGTTTTGATCATCTGTCACGTGAATATTACGCAAAGCACAGTGCTAGAGCAAAAGTGTTTTGACCTTCGATCGTTGTCCCTCGCACTCCTTAACCTTTGGTTAATAGTAGTATAATTTGATGTGGGGTTTAGGCACAGTTTCACCAGAACATGCATATATATATCACTTGCTTGTGATGCACCCCTGAGGGTATCCAGTAATCTTAAATCAAAATTAGAACACTACCAGTGACATGTAATGTTTTTTCTATTTTGATTACAGAAAGTTTCCAGTGCAAGTCCAAAACTCTGTGGGTTTTTAAACAAACTTGGAGGTAAGAAAAATTGGGTTCAATATTGTATATTTTTAGCTGTAACAGGTCCATAGGGAGAGGGGTGCAACAGGTGTGCTCACATGCCCCCCCCCCCCCCCCCCCCATCCCTCCCAGAAGTCCCCTTTTGTTATTCAATGTTTTAACACAAAGTGAATGGATAATATTTCTCAATTTTTAATGTTACTGCACCTTGCCCCTACCCTTTAGCCTTCTGGTGACCATTGGGGCGCCACAGACATATCCACCCCCTCCCTCCATTTGTTTTTGATTTTGATTATGAATTAAATTTGAATTTTTGAATAACAAAAAGTTTCAAGGGCAATCCAAAAACTTTTTGGTTTTTAAAAAAAATTTGGGGTAAAAAAAAATGGGTTCAATATTGTTATTTTTTAGCTTGAACAGGTCCCTAGGGAGGGGGGGGCAACAGGTGTGCTCCCAAGCCCCCCCCCCCCCCACCTCCCATACATCCCAGAAGTCCACTTTTGTTAATCAATGATTTAACACAAAGTGAATTGATAATATTTCTCAATTGTTAAAGTTACTGCACCTTGCACCTATCCTGTAGTCATCTGGTGACCATTGGAGCGCCACAGACATATCAACCCTCTCCCTCCATTTGATTTTGATTTTGATTATGAAATAAATTTGAAAATACTCTTGAAGAGTTAACTAGCCCTGACTCACACTTTCCACAAAAAGGGGTTTTAGCTTTCACGCGTTAAAGTATAAAAAAGAGAATTTGGTATGCCCTCAAGGCATTTAGCCCCTCACTCCAATACATCTCTTGCTCCTACAATTTGTCGTTAAGGAGTAAAGTCTGTTTTGGAGGTTTATGTGGCCAACAAGTAGTATTTGCGGCATAAGAGAGGCTCTCTTCACTGGCTTTCAGTACACATTCACTATCTAACATACATTGACATGAAAGAAGTCACTTGTCAACGGATACCCTTTTTGACAGCTGACCATTACATGGATGTCCACTATCAAGTTAAACACAGATTGTATATGCCTTGGACACCCAACTAGTAATGCCCGGCCGTTACAAGAAAACAGCCAATCAGAGTGCGCATTTACCATTGTAGCCATGTAATAAAACCTTTTAACCAACACTCTCTACCTAGCCCCATCCCTTCTCTCTCCCTGACCAACTGACAATTAGGAACTTAAGCAATGATGATGGCAACAGCAATGAGAACAGCAAAAAAGTAGTAGGTTTAGATCGGCAAAACAGCAACTTTGCATGTGCATCACATTTTTTCTCGAGGACAGGAACACAAGACAACAGCTACCTTTCTTAATCATTTCCTGAACTTCGATACAGTCCTTTAGAATTCAAGTCCAAACAAATTTGCCAGCATTTAATGAATTGAATAAGATGGAATAAGTGCAAGAAAGTTTGAGGCAGCCTGAATTCACTTTTTAAGTGACATTTTCTTAGGCGTCGCCATCGTTGATGATTAAGCTTGCTATTATCGTCTGAAGAGCAAACTATCTCAGGGTCCAAAAAAAACCTACATGTGTGATTGTCTGGATTTGTGGGGCCTACATGTAGTGTAGAACAGGAACTAGCGAAATTCCAACTGAAGGTGGTCTGGTACGAGCTATGAATTTCAGGTTTCCACCCGCACACACCTAATCTATAATTCTTTTATTCCCCCTTAGGTATCAAATGTACCTCACTAATCTCTGACAGTAACTCAGTATTAAGTAAATTACTCATGGCTACACATTTATTATTATAATTATTTTTGTTTTTACCAAGCCAAGGGAATTAAGACTTGGAAAACAAGATGGCAAGTATATCATTATTGGTGTATTAATATAATATGTGAACTATTATGATATTAATATTCTAGTTGTCTGTCGATAGAATTTTGTTTTGATTCTTCAATACTACCATTGCTGCCTAAGAACCATGTTTGATTTTATAATATGTTTGTCGCTATATTATTTTCCTGAAATAAAGAACCCATGCTGTACATTGCAAAAGCACCCTCCCTTTAAGAAGAGTGCCATGCATCTGCTTGGCCACAATTAACTGCTGATCTTCTCCTCTCATCAGCTTCTTGGATTGGGCCTTGGGGCAATGCAGTTGGTTCCTTTTTTTTAAAAAAATGCCTTATTGTGGACAACCAGTCAAAGTTTCAGTATCAGTTTATTTGTTAGCCAGAGAAATAAATTATGCACAGTTATTGCATAAGGGGGAGAATTGATGATATTTTTCTGGCAAGGAAGTTTAACTGAAACCGTGGGGGCTTATTACACGAGCTCCCTCCCTAGCCCAAGACTATAATAAATGAGTGGTGAAATATATTTAGGATAAAAAGCAAGCACATTGACAAAACACACTAAACAGAAAAAAGCAGCAATAAACAAGCATTATTTACAAGTGGCGAATCAGCTAAGGAGAAGTGTTTTCAATCTGGATTTAAAAAGAGAGATTGTAGCGGCACTATTTATATGGTGATTTAGAGAATCAGAAAATTTCCAGGCAAGAAAAAAAAAAAAATGTTTTACAATTTTATTATTTGATACATGTATGTACAGTCGACTCTCTCTTAATGGACACCTCTATAAGATGGACACCTCTGTAAACTGGGCACCACAGTACTGTTGACTAAGACTTGACTATATTCTTTCTCGTATCTTTCAGGTTTGTGTATGATGAGAGAAAGTGCAGACTGTATTATTACAGAACTCCTCAGGATTTTACACCACTTGGGTGAGATTTGGTGCACACGGCCATTTTCTAAGAAAATTGAATAGCGCCTATTTTTCTCTAAACTTGGTACTGAAATCCAGAGTACCCAGCATATGTGTGAAAAAATAACATATTCCAGTCACCCAGGATGGTAAAAAGCCCTGCAATATTAAGGGCGCCACTGCAGAACATGTGCTTGATGGAGTAAAGCTGCTGGTCGCATTGGCTCAAGTTGAAGCTTTCCTAAAATAAATTTAGCCTCATTAAAATAATACGTGCTGTTTATTTATCTCCAGACTCATTGATTTGGCTAAAGCATCATTTTCGTTTGAAGTTGAAGATGCCAGTAGGTTGACACAGTTCCAGATTTGGTATGTAGATTTTCCATGGTTTTGATTATTTAAAATTACATTCTTTAACTAAAAGTGGTATCAGCATCTGATAGCCTGGGGCTAGTGAACTATTGGGCTAGTGAATTCTGTTCCTAAATTGCCAGATGAGCAACTGAAGTCTTTTAGGGGAAATTCAATTACAGAAGAACTGTAATCAATCCTGCTTGTATTTTTTTGTTTGTTTTTTACGGGCTGGTCAAAAAGTCTTTCTAGCTATAAGTAAATGCTAGCTACAACTTGCCCGAAGGAAGAGCGGTTGTACATGTAACAATGACTTTTTTTGGATCCTGGGATGTTCAGATTTGTGTACCAATGCATTTGTGTATGAACCAACTCGTGAGTTTTTTAAAACTTGGTAAAATTTGGTAAAGACATTGAACAACAGTGACGATAGCATCCACAAATTTTGAGTCAGCTGACTTGGATGGCGGAATGGCAAATTGAGCACTAAAAATCAGGTTCTATCCTTTCCGGGGATTGCCCGTTCATGTTCTTATTTGACATTGCGATGTCTTTGGTTATCTTGCTACTATACAAGTCATAATGTGTCCTTTTTCTGTGGAGGGCAAATTGATAACATGGTTGTTCCTTCTACTCAGTGTAAATTGTTTGTTTGTTTGTTTACCTTGTCAGTACGTCTGGAAGGACATATCAACTGCAAGCCAAAGATAAACAAACAATGATGTTTTGGCTTCAGGAACTTCAGGTAATGGTCTAATACTTTTTTTTCTCTTCTTGGGCATTAAGCAGCCTTCATTTCCGTGTGAAAACTCTTGGGAAAGATTTAGGATCTTAAAATTAGATAAACGGAACGGTAGGTGGGTAGTAGAATAAGATTTTCGTGGGAATTTTTGGTGCAATATTAGATGGTTTCTTGTATGATTTGAAAGATCTCTTCGCTCGGCACAAGTTAGCTGATAAAGTTGTCCTTGATCGTTAAAACTAATGACGTTACAAGTGGTAGAAAGGACGTGGATCCGCACGGGCGGATACAGGCGATTTAAGGGTGAATGGGTTAATAGTAAACAATTTTTCGTCTGCTGAGCCACTTTGTTATATTACGATTCAGTTATCCACTGAAGGGGAGTTTATCTATTTTTTATTTTATCTGATTTTCTTTTTCCTTAATCTGTCGTGGGGACTACTACATTCAAGTAGCTCCTATAAGCTACGTGTAAACAGGCGCAACAACTCCCAACATTCAGGGGCACCTAACGTCAATTTTTGGAAAATATGTGTTCGGAAGACGATTTGAGATCTAGAATTTTCGGAACATTTATTGCAAAATGTCTTGCTTGCCTGCCTCTCCTAGGATTTTCGAACATCTAAAAAAAGGTATAATTGCCCATTTTTAACGGATTTTTAACCTAAAAACGTCATCTAGAATTTTCGGGATCCTTTTTTCTGGTTGAAATTTTCGAAAAGGTCAGTTTTGATCCCTATAATTTTCGGATCACTAGACTTTCAGCTATAAAATACGAACAGATGAAAACTTTTAGGGGATAAAAATATACCTATGTCTACTGTTTAAATACTAATTTACGTTCAACAATGCTATGTTTAAGTGGTTTTGAACTATATTCTCGTTGGGTGCCCCTGAACATTGTTCGCCCTAGAATGTTGGGAGTTGTTGTGTCTGTGTTGGCAGTGGTGTGCAAACGGATGCAAGTGCATTATGGGAAGGATAAAACCCGTAAGACTCTCTAAACCATGTATAATACGTGTGTATGGCCCCAAATTGGTCGTTTTACTGCAAACGACAAACTGCGGTTTGTGGTAAACGTTTTCACGTTACCCGTTTGCCCATGTTTGGGACTTAAGATTCGCGGATGGCAGTTTGCGGCTGTCATGTTTGTTTTTCTCCATCTACTTACTTCTATTTTAGCTGAGAAATTGTCTTTAATCACGTTTTTCTGAAAAAGAATTCGATGATCAATAAGCAAAACAGTTCTAAAAAGTCGTATTTCTTCTCAGACGTGGGATTGTGATGTTTTAGGGTGCAAAAAACCTTGCGGTAAATCACTTACTTCTGGAGCGTGGTCTAGCCGTACAAACGTGAACCTTAAACCGCGAACCTGACGGCAAGGCCCTGGTCACGTGACTTCTTGATGTTCGCGGTTTGCGGGAAATGCCGAAAAACCTCAATCTGAAGCAACCTCGTTCCCAGGGTTCTGTCCTACTTGTGCAAACGAATCCAACATCGTTGAGCTATGCTTCGGTGATCAAGGAAAAAAAGAAATGGAGGGAGTTGTTGGCTTAAAAGTTTGACCGGTTTCAAACTTAGTACAACAACTCGCAACAACATGCAACAGGGTGTACAAACGGACGCAACATGTAGCATCCAACAATGATGGGAGTTGTTTGCCAACAATGATGTGTCAGTTCACTTTCAGATATTATTTTTGTCAATGTTTGTTTTTAGGCAAAACGAAGAGAATTCAGCCGAAAGAGGGCAAACAATGTTGTTCAAAATAAAGGAGACATAGCGGCTTTAGGGGTAAGTTCATCATTGTNCTTGACCAATGGCAGAGCCGCAAATTGGGCACCGGAAGTCGTGTTTAGTCCTTTCCGCGCGCTTTCCCGTCGTCAACTGACGTTCCCGTCCTGTTGCTAAATCAGCCTATTATTTATCGCCAGGGATGGGTGGGGGGGGGGGGGGGGGGGGGTTTGGGGGGAAGGCCCCCCCCCCCCCCTCAGAGCTATAAATCCCCGACGCCCGCCTCCTCGGTACATTTGAAAATCAAGATACCCGTGACAGTAAGACGCGGTATATCTAAACGATCCCGCGAAAAAATAGGGGACTGTAAACAGTCTAGGGATTTGACGATGAAAATCTTTGTGGGCATCAAAATGCCAGCTGGAATTAGTCAGCTTGCGAATTCAGCCTTCTCTCCTTGCTCCTCATGGCGTGAGACATTTTACGGTAGCAAAACGTTCCTAGCAGGTAGAAGTGAGAAGAGAAGGCTGTATTTGCAGGCAAGGAGTTATTTTTTAGTGTGGTCATTATTTTTTGTCAACTCATTGTCATGTACAGGAGAACAGCTCAGAATTGTAACCTTCAGGGCCGGGTTGTTCGAAGCTGGGTTAAGGTAACCAACTGTTAGTGCGAAATTTGAACTCGGATATGAGAGCTTAAAAAACAAATTCAGTTTAATTCTCTTTGCCTACAATTTGATGCCTGGATACTCTAAAAAGAATAGAGAAAATTACCCGATAGTGTGCTTTTGATAAAAAGAAAAAGAAACCTGGGTTAAAATTTAACCCCGGGTTAGCGTAAACCGGCGTTCGAACAACTGGGCCCAGTTGTTTAGATTTTTTTTTTGGACAGTCGTGTATTTTTAGCTGTTTCTAATAAATTAATCTAATGATTGATTTATTTTAAGCAATCAACATGTGGTCTATTAGCTGAAGAGGAGGAAACAACTGATGAAAAGAACGTAGGTATGTAACATTCATTTCAAACCTTTTCCATTATTGAGTTAAATCATATGGCTCTTTAGTCTTATATTTTGCTGAAGTTCAATTTTG